CTGTCCTAGACATTGAGTTCTACCTGGATCCTTCCTCTTGGAAAATTTTTTTTTTCTGAAAATATACATGTATGGAAATTTTTTCATATGTATGTATATTTTCCACTAATATTATCTATATATATATATATATATATATATATATATATATATATATATATATATATATATATATAAATAAATATATATCAAATAAATATATATCAAAATAAATATGGCCGGAAGCTTTGAGACAAGAAAAATTATGGACAATTTTATATTTCTAAACTCCTAAACTACAAAACAGGAAATGTTGTTTGCTGAAAAAAAAAAAACTAAATAAAAAAATCAATTCAATCTTACATTTCGGTTTATTCAATGAATGATATTTGAAAGAAAGTTTACTGCAAAATAAAATTATATATATATATATATATATATATATATATATATATATATATATAAGTTATGAAGAACTTGGTAATACGTATGGGTAATCCCAAGGAGGATGAAATCCTGAGAGCTCAATGTAAATCCAGAGCTAATATTTAAAATAAAAACAGACCATTTTAAGGTAACATTATAATAATTTATTTCACCCGAGACATTTTAAGAAGACGCCGGATCATCAGATAGCACTTCCAAAAATGAAATGAAAGGAAAAATGAAATTAAAATTGATGGGTAATGTAAGTTTTTGTAATTTAACAGAGAGTGTAAGAGGGATAGTTAAATAGACATGGTAGAGTATAGGGAGGGATTAATTTCATATCTCTATCAAGTATACTTTATATTGTGGGAGGAGGAGGACCAGACCTTGACCTATTTAGATGGTTAACATAACGGAAGTGATATATAGAAATGGGAGGGAGTAGGGAGAAAAGAAAAAAGGAAAAAGAAAGAAGAGTGATATATATATATATATATATATATATATATATATATATATATATATATATATATATATAAACGGACGCCACACTCGTTTAACTCACATCGCTCTTTGCCATACGTCACTATTTATACGAAACTCATTGTCTAGATTTATTGTATATAAAATATATTTGTGGCCCAAGGTCGAAAATGGAGGAGAATGAGCTGAGGTTGGTCATCACTTACAATCTTGTACCTAGCTAATTAGATTCACGACCCATTCACTCATTTCAATTTGCACATCCATCAAAAGAACTTATCCATCATCATTCAATCCCCCATATGCCACAATACCGCATCCTCTCAGGGGACTTACAAAAAGAAAATTCCCATGACATAAAAATTAACGACCATAAAATTCTATATAATAATTTGTGATAATACGTAATGAATGGGGAGGGAATGAACCCCAAAACAAACTAAAATATCATAACAATTACATAGAATAAAAGGTAACTGATATTAGTTGGAACTATGAAACCCTCAAAAGAATTCAGAGATGCCAATGTATTTTGCCTTTAGCCAAAATCAAGAGGCTCTCTAATTAAGGGAGAGGGAAAAGGATAAAATAAATACGGCCACGAGGAAGGAAGAAAAATGACCCGAACGAGATTAAAAAAGGGGTTAAAAACAAACTGGGGACTTTTGGATCATGAACAAAATGGAAGTCAACCGTTATGATCATTTAAAAAAAATGGGAAACTTGGATCATATTTCTTACAGTTTTCATCCTGACCTTCGGACTTTTGTGGCAGAATTATCTCCCTGTGTTAGAACGATTATTCATAAGTTTGAAAAGTTAGTGTTGTCCTTAGATGTCCGGGTCTGCACTCGCGCTACACTGGAGGTATGAGCGAGGACAACGGCTGGAAAAGCTTTTAATGATAGGGACCTGTAACCAACCCTGTAACGAGGAATTCCCGGAAGATGTGGGTCAACAGCACATTCATACCAGACGCCGTTTTATCAGATTATCTGCGTCAAGGCAAATAATGTATATTTTCAATCCTTATCTTTTTGTTTTTATAGTAAGGTTCACGCTGTACAAGATTAGGTGGAGGCCACTCTAGGTAGATGATTACTTTATGGGGTCGTTTATATAGATAGCGGGGGAAAATAACTGTAAAGCCTATTCATGAACAGGTTAACATTGTAGTGATCGGGGAAACATCCTTCTTGAGAGTTGCTACCACTGAGTAGTTGTTCGTGAGAAGTTGTTCGAGTGAAACTTACTTCTCACCGATGTTATATGGAGAGAATGGCGGTAGATTGCTACTATTTAAGTGCTATGGCAAGTCCTAACTAGGAAGATTAGACCTGGCAGAAATGTAGGTATCCCGAGCGCATTTCATGTAGGCCCGTCTGTAAGATAAAGGTTAGAGGGTAGAAAATAATTTGTCACTCACACCGCCTCGGAGTTTTGAATTTTATCGAGAGTGTAAAGTGAGGACTAGACAACTTTTACCCAAATCTACAACGTTTTCGGCCTGATCACTTGTAAAGGTAGAGGGTAACATGGGGTTTGGTTTGGTTTATTTTGTTTTAAGACTGTTATACCTGACGTACCTATTCTATTATTAATAGACTCTCCCACACATAATAATTAGTAGTAGGAGGAGCGGTCGCCAGTTGGGGCTCAGTGGTGTTGAGTGAGTCAGTCGAAGTCGGACATTGAAGTATCAAACATCACAACTAGATTGCTGCGTCATTAACTCTTATTTCAAGTTCCTAACGTTTTTGTCGGATATTTTTAAGACAGACTTAGTGAAATACAAGCCTCCACTGTGAAAACTACTCCACAACAAAGACATATCAACCTCAATGGTTTATTTAATGCCGACAAGATTTTTATGATGAATTCGTATGAACAGAATATATATTCTTTGGTTTAGATTGGTTTGGTTTATTTTGTCTTACGGCATATCAAGCTCAATGGGTTATTTAATGCCGTCAAATTCTTTTATTGCTGGTAATATTTTGTTTTGTCAAAAATCTGTTTCTCGTAATATTTTTCCTTTAAACTTGTATTGCTGGTAAACATTTTTTTCAAAAATGTATTGCTGGTAATAGTTAACTATTTGCCCATAGCTGGAACCCTAACAGGTGCTACCACTCCGAGTCAGGGTGGACCTGAAAATACTAGCAATTAACAGGTGGTTCCACACTCGTCAAAACCTCCTGATCAGAGGCCTTGCCGCTGGACGTAGTTTATCGTCTTACCCAGGACGCGGATGTAGTTTAACGTCTTACCCAGGACGGGATAACATGAGGAGTCAGGTATTTACTAAAGCGGTGAAGGGTGGCGACCAGTTTACCAGCATCTCTGATTCTGACGTCGTGGCTTGATATATATATATATATGTATGCATGTATGTATTGCTCAGATAAGATATTATGCACATTATTTACATTATTTGGACTATTGTCCTCATGTTTGTCACCATATTTATTACAACCTTTCGGCCGTTGTACACTCCGGCTCCGGTGGTTGGAATGTCGAACTGAACCCTTTATTTTTCTCACTGGGGTAGACTGTTCTAGTTCCACGTGCCATGTTTAATGGATGTCAGTTATCAGTTTTCTCCTGTTAATTCCCCTCTCCAAGTTCTACACCTCCTTAACCAGGTACTGAACTCAAACTCTTTCGGTTCCTGTCACTGGATCTAAATAACGCCTTTATCAACTGGGCCATGTGTCCTTGTGCAACAGTTTACCCCAGTGAGCGAAATAAAAGGTTCAGTTCGACATTCCAAACACCTGAAGATGGCCGGGGCGTACAACGGCCAAAACGTTGTAATGAATATGGCGACAAAGATGAGGTCAATAATCCGTATAATGTAAATAGTGTACATAATACCTCATCTCAGAAATATAGACAGATACTGAAAGACCGAAACATTGTAATATATATGGTGACAAAGATGAGGACAATAGTCCGAATAATGTAAATAGTGTACATAATACCTCATCTCAGAAATATAGACAGATACTGAAAGAACGAAACGTTGTAATAAATATGGCAACAAAGATGAGGACAATAGTTCGAATAATGTAAATAGTGTACATAATGCCTCATCTCAGAAATATAGACAGATATTGATGGGCTGAAACGTTGTAATAAATACTGCGACAAAGATGAGGACAATAGTCCGAATGATGTAAATATATATATATATATATATATATATATATATATATATATATATATATGTTTAGGTGTAAAAAAATTGGATATGTGTGACCACACATATGTTTTCCATTCTATTTGATTTTTTCATGTTATTTTTCGTTTCTTTTTTAATAATTGGGCCATTTTCTTAAGTTTTTGTCTTGTTTGTTCCATTGCCGTGTGAATTTTATATATTTTCAGAATCTCGAAAGTCTTCCGGACTTTTGTGTATTTTTTCTAATTTTTTTTTTAGTGTATGTGTGTTTTCGGTGTGGGAGGAATCTCTTATGCTTTGTCATTTCAGCTTAATAGGCAATTAATTGTTTCCGTTTGTTATTTTCTTTTTTCAGGGTCCGAAAGAAATTAGCCATATGCTCTCCTATTTTCATTTCTGTCTCGCCTTTTTTTTTCTTTTTTCCATAAATACAATCTTTTCATTTCATGTCTATATATGCAGAAATACAAGGGACATTGTCACGTAGCAAAAATAAAATATGGGTAAGGAAAAATGGGGACTTAGAAATATAAGAAAGAGAAACAATGTCCTTGATAAATGGTCCTATAGGAATTTTTTTTTAATCTACCAAACAGGTGCTTTCAAGAGAGTGGGTGGCAAATGGTTAAAATTGGTAATACCAAGTGCTTTAAGCGTGAATATTGGGATGGTGTAATTGTAATGGTTCGTAATTGTTAATTGCAGTACCGAGTTCCAATTCAAGTTAGTTTCCTTATATTAATTTACACGCAAATACCAAAATGCCATTCCATGAGTGAATATGATTATATTCGGTACCCCATGCTAAGTTTCTCCGTTAAGTAACCGAAGTTAAGCAACGTCAAGCCTAGTCTCTACCTAGGGAGTGACCGCTTGGTATTAACTGATGTTGCAATCTTGGATGTGTTGGTGTTATGACGTATGACGTTAAAACATCGATTCCCGTACGATCAACGAAGTTAAGCAACGTCGAGCCTGGTCAGTACCAAGTTAGGTGTCCACTTGAGATGTGCTGGTGCTAGTACTTACGGCCATATGATGCTGAAACACCGATTTCCGTACGATCAACGAAGTTAAGCAACATCGAGCCTAGTCAGTATCAAGTTGGGTGTCCATTTGAGATGAGCTGGTGTTAGTACTTACGTCCATCTTAACAGTTGTTCCTGTACGATCACCGAAGTTAAGCAACGTCGAACCTGGGTCGTACAAAAATGGGCGTCCACTTGAGATGTGCTGATTGTTGTATTTACGGCCGTATGATGTTGAAACATCGGTTCCCGTATAGTCACCCAAGTTAAGCAACATCGAGCCTGGGCAGTACTAAGATGGGTGTTAGATGTTCTGGAGTTGTACTTACGACCATATGGCGTTCAAACATCGGTTCCCGTACGATCACCGAAGTTAAGCAATGTCGAGCCTGGTCAGTACCAATATTGGTGTCCGCTTGGGATGTGCTGGTGTTACTACTTACGGCCATATCATGTGAGTGTATGCTTGGATGTGCAGGGTTTGTTGTGGTTAATGGCTCAAAATTAGAAGACAGAGAGCCGTGTTCCAATTCCCGTTGGGTTCGTTATATTCAATTGCGTACAAATATTCACTTACAATGAAAAGTATAAATCCACTGCTCTCTCTTATCTCAAAAAAGTTTCTCACAATCTAAAAATATCTTCTGTCTTTAAATAACCTGATGTTGATAAACCGTAAAAATCGAATCAGTTAATGAAATACTGATTAGCTGCGCGGGCATGTCATTTGGATTTATTCACATTCTCTAGGGATATAAATTTATAGAAACTAATGTGGTCATAAAGTGAGGGATCCGTTTATACATAGATTTCAATATAAAATTGATCCCCCACTTAATACCATATTCTTATTTCTTGTGTGTTTATCAAATTTTGATTTGGTGTGAGTCTTGCTCTCCCCAGCTAAGGATTAATTAATAAGACTTGCTGCACTACAATTATTATTATTAAAAAAAACTAAACTAGCGTACAAAATAGTAAGTTTTCGGCATTAAATAAGCCACAGAGGTGTTGAGATGACACCTAAGAAAAATGACCAATACACAGATATTCAAACGCACGTGTGCACACGGACACATATGCACGCAAAAAAACATATGCAACATAAAACCAATAAAAACACATAATAAACAAAATTCCTTAACTAGAATATTTCGGAAATAATTTTAATTAGGGCAGATTATTTCATTCAGTTTCTGTAAAGTCTGAAATTCTTGGATAGCATTATTTTTTTCTTATCAATGAGAGAATTGCACAGCACCGTCCTCATTCCAACTTTCGACAAATCTTGTCAAAGTAAAGAAATCCATACCAGGGCAGAAGAGGTTAAAATAGGATATGGCTGAAAAGTTAATTCATGATCCCGTAAGATCACAGAAGTTAAGTAAGGTCGAGCCTGGTCAGTATGTAGATAGGTGACCGTTTGGATGCGGAAACCTGCAGGTGGTGTAATGGATAACTGCACGGAATTGTTAATCGGAGAGCTGAGTCGCAATTCCCGTCGCCCAAATATCCTTGGGAAAGGTATAAATACATCTCTTCTCGCCCCAACTATAGGTTAATTAGTAAAAGTTTTATCCTTAAACCAATATTATCCCCTGTAAAAAAAAAAAAAGAAATCCTTACAATCTTATGTAATTGTTGTGGAGTATTTTCACAGTGGATGCTTGTATTTCTAATAAGTCGTCCTAAAATAGGTTCGACGTACAAAACGTTAGGAACTTGGAAAATAAGAGTCAATGGCGCAGCAATCTAGTTGTGATGGTTGGTACTTCAAATGTCCGAATCTCAACTGACGCGCTCAACACCATTCGGTATTTATCATTTCACCCACGAGAAATGAATATGGCACAAGGCCGGTTTTATTGTGGGTTTCTCCGAGCCCGTAGTCTCGGCCAAAAAAATAGCCTTTGAAGCCGATTAGACGGGTTCAGGCCCTGTCTACCTCCCCGGACGAAACCTTGCCCTTCGGCAAAGCCTCGCCCGGGTTCCTCTCTGCTAACGCAGGGAGTTCGACAGGAGGCGTGTGCAGTCAGAGACCGCGAGACGCCATTCGGTATTTATCATTTCACCCACGAGAAACGAATATGGCACAAGGCCGGTTTTATTGTGGGTTTCTCCGAGCCCGTAGTCTCGGCCAAAAAAATAGCCTTTGAAGCCGTTTAGACGCGTTCAGGCCCTGTCTACCTCCCCGGACAAAACCTTGCCCTTCGGCAAAGCCTCGTCCGGGTTCCTCTCTGCTAACGCAGAGAGTTCGACAGAAGGCGTGCGCAGTCAAAGACCGCGAGACGCCATTCGGTATTTATCATTTCACCCACGGGAAACGAATATGGCACAAGGCCGTTTTTAATGTGGGTATCCACGAGCCCGTAGGCCCGGCCAAAATATAGCCTTTGAACCCGCCCAGACGGGTTCAGGCCCTCCACCTCCCCGGACGAAACCTTGCCCTTGGCAAAGCTTCGTCTGGTTCCTCTGCTAACGCAGAGTTCGCCAGAAGTCGTGCGCAGTCAGAGACCGCGAGACGCCATTCGGTATTTATCATTTCACCCACGGAAACGAATATGGCACAAGGCCGGTTTTATTGTGGGTTTCTCCGAGCCCATAGGCTCGGCCAAAAAAAATAGCCTTTTTTGAAGCCGATTAGACGGGTTCAGGCCCTGTCTACCTCCCGGACGAGGCTTTGCCGAAGGGCAAAGCCTCGCCGGGTTCCTCTCTCTGCTAACACAGAGAGTTCGACAGGAGGCGTGCGCAGTCAGAGACCGCGAGACGCCATTCGGTATTTATCTTTTCACCCACGGAAAAAGAATATGGCACAAGGCCGGTTTTTATGTGGGTTTCCCGAGCCCGTAGGCTCGGCCAAAAAAAATAGCCTTTGAAGCCGATTATACGGGTTTTCGGCCCCAGCCTACCTCCCTGACGAAACTTTGCCCTTCGGCAAAGCCTCGTCCGTTCCTCTCTGCTAACGCAGAGAGTTCGACAGGAGGCGTCCGCAGTCAAAGACCGCGAGATGCCATTCGGTATTTATCTTTTCACCCACTGAAAAGAATATGGCACAAGGCCGTTTTTTTATGTGGGTTTCCCCTGAGCCCGTAGGCTCGGCCAAAAAATAGCCTTTTGAAGCCGATTATACGGGTTCAGGCCCTGTCTACCTCCCGGACGAAACTTTGCCCTTCGGCAAAGCCTCGTCTGTTCCTCTCTGCTAACGCAGAGAGTTCGACAGGAGGCGTCCGCAGTCAAAGACCGCGAGATGCCATTCTGCCAGACTTGCCACTGCTACTCCTACTTATTATCTATGGGAGAGTCCATTACAATAGAATACGTAGTATAACAGTAATCAATTTGGATTTTGCGGACATCGGGTTCATTTCAGTTTTAACAGCAAGAAATGGTCCAAGGCAAGAGAGCTTGATGTTTTACATTATTTGGCCTGGTTTTGAATTGGGATTTTTTTGTCTTCCAGACGGTTAATATTACCATAACTATTATTATTATTATTATTATTAGCAGCAGCAGCACCAGTAGTAGTAGTAGTGATATTATTAATGATGTCATCGTTTCTTGTGATCGAATTTGTTCATCAATGAGAACAATGTTATATGCATATGTTTAGTAAAATAAAACGCATATAAAAAGATGAAAAATTATTACTTTTCAAAGTTTCTAGTGTTTGTCATTCTAAAGATTTCCTCTTTTATTTTCGCGATTCACCTGATACGGAATTCCGGAAACCTCCTCCCATCACAAATGATTGCTTCTTTGCCGGAAAGAAAAGAATCATATATACTTTTATTTCGCTCCGATTACTTAGTATACATCACTTCGTTTCCTCTTTGTAACTTTGTCTACATATATATAACTTTGTCGATATACGTTTATTTATATATATATATATATATATATATATATATATATATATATATATATATATATATATATATATATATCAGCGTGTTTCTGTGCCTTTGTGCAGAATGAATGTCTCTGGACACAAGCTTGAGTAGATCTATGTATAATCTTTTTTGTTTAATCGTCTTTGTTTACATATGGATATGACAATAAATATAAATAATATGGATATGGAATTATCCTTTTTAAAAGTTTCTCACCCAGCCTCTCTCTCCCAGTCTTTACTCTCTCTCTCTCTCTCTCTTTTTCTCTATCTCTCTCTCTCTCTCTCTATATATATATATATATATAATAAAGAAAAACAGGCCACTTTAAGGTTCCATTGTAATAATTTATTTCACCAGAGCCCTTTTAAAGGACGCTGGATTATCAGACATCACTTTCCGTTTCACCTTTTGGAAGTGATGTCTGATGATCCAGAGTCCTTTAAAAGGGCTCCGGGAAAGTAAATTATTACAATGGAACCTTAAAGTGGTCTGTTTTTCTTTAAATTATTAGCTTTGGATTTACATTGAGCTTTCAGGATTTCTTCCTCCTTGGGACTATCCATACGCATTACCAAGTTTTTCGGAACTTAACGATATATATAACTTTTAAACTTTTTGAATTAAAGTTGAAATAATTTCGATTTAATAATCTTGGTTTGTTTAACAGAGAAAATTATTTACTAGGTCGAGAGCTAGTGAAAAATGATTTAATTTCAGGGCCATCGATATTACAGATATTTCCCAGATATTTCCTCTGCTAGAATATTTACCAGATATTTCAATATCTGTACTTTTTATTCCGCAAGCAGAAGAACCTCAAGGCCATCGTTTTGACGACACCGAGAAGATGAAAAATGCTGTAGGTGATTGGGATGCATTTTGGGCATCATCGTTTCATCAGTGGTGTAGTTCTCACTCGTGTTCTGTTAACTTGCCTACATGTCTCTCTGCCGGCTGGTATTTGTATACCGTATTTCGGATGGGAGGTCTTTCTGTACGAAGAATATGCCCGCCTTCAAAGACGTCTGCAAAAAGGACATGACGATAACGGACTTTGACATAGAAAGGTAGGAACGATCACCTACGATGGAAACGTGATTTACTAAGAGTGTTGGATGGAAGAGAGAACGGATTTTTGCCGCCGGAGAGAAGCATGCACGACAGAAATAAAACTATAAACCGACATCAGGGAAGAACGTCTACACAAATATTCCTTGCACCGAAGATTGTCATTCCCGTGTGGGCCCATAAAGCCATAAATGACGCTATGCCACCAATAGACGCTGAGGTATAATTCTTTGGGTGCAGATCCATGCTGTCACTCGAGGGAGACGGATGTTATATATAAGGACAATTATAAGTGTTCTAAAAATAATTTTGAAAATTTTTTGGGAATGAACTTCGTATAAATATTGTCATGACTTGTAAGAAAGATATAATTCAAAAGGTGAAACATAATAGTTTAGATATAATGAATGATCGAGGCATGAATGGGGAACTGATGAAAAAGTCATAGAGAGTAGAAAATACAAACATTGACAG